TGGCACTCTCATTCAGGTTGGGGTTGGCAACCAATTTTGGGGGAAAACGTTACACGTCTGTGTGTAGCACGCACAAGAGGGTAGTTTTCACTTGACAACAACGGCCCCGAGCCCACATCTGGTTGCCTTGATTCTTGCTTGCCACTGGGCCGAGGAAGATGTGGGAGGCAAGCATTTGGTAGAAGCTGCGAAAGTCTGCTATAATTAGAAATTGATTGACGCGCTAGTCGCCATGCTTTGGGACAAGCGGAGGACATCTTCGCTCGCGACAGTTGGACTGTCGTTTTTATTTATCCATTTTTTTCTATGGATCTCAGCCTACTATTTGTTCATCCCCTTAGACACATATGTCATCTAGCATAGAAGGCCGATGTTCGCATGCATTCGTGGTTCTAAAATTGTCTTGATTATTCCTTCGGGAGTTATGACTTCAACTTCACCTGTTTAGATAACGCGCAACTGATCGGCTTCTATGAGCCTCTGTCATGAGTCCTCTCTTTGTCGGTGAAGAAGAAACAGTTCTAAAACGAGAACCCATTGCCTTACTTTCCAGACTAAATCCATAAAATCGTTGGTTTTCTTAGCGTTTACATTTAAAACTGAAGTAAAAAGAGAAATGTGTACTAGAATGCCTCACATGATCGCTGTACTTTAGCTGCTTTTAAATGCAATATTAACTCCTGGAGATCGACTACTTTGATTGCTATTCATATATACACGCAGGTCAGTGCACACTGCACAGAAAATGGTCACTACTTAGGGTAATTTATTCCGTGTTAAGAACTGTTCCGGTATCAGTTTTCTATTGTAAGTTTAAAACCAGCTTCACAGGCTTTTGGTTTCCGACAATTTTCAGCCAATGCACCGATGTTTAGCAATTGCAGGCGACGTATACATTCCTCGTTCGGGATATCACGAAGACGTGGGGGAAGTTCCTCTGGTCTAGGCCTGTGTACCACGTCCCAGATCCAGTTTTCAATTCTCTTGGATGGCCTGTCATCTTTCGAATGAAACCTCTTAATAACGTCGGCTTGAGGTATCTTATTTGCGGCCCTAAACTCGGCCTCTTGGAGGGCTAATTCATCTTCTTCTGATCCGATGCCAACAGAAAGGTCAAACTGTAGCAGGCGAGGTAGACGCATCCATGGTGTCAGGGCCGCAACTACCTCGTCCATGTTATAGTGAACTTGGAAGATATGTGGATGATCACCAACCTTGCATACGGCTGAATGGGATAGGGCTTCCGAAACCGAGAACATTACCACATGACAAGACTCGCAGGTGTAAGTCTCCATGATTCCGAGTGGCTGAATGAGCAGACGCTCAAAACGTTCGCGCCGCGGACACGGATGAGTGAGATATTGCATAAATTGGGTATAGATTTCGTTACAATCGTAACAACGGAATTTCACTTGCCGTGCTGGCAAATAAGGATTCTCTGCTTGTTCGATTGACCATCGACGAAGGGCCACCCGCAAGAGTTCTGGCGTATTAAGGCGTACAAATGAAAACTTCATGGTCGAGCAGGCTTTAAAGTGGCTAATGCACTCCTCAATATCTGGAAACAGGCACTGGCAGTCACAACAGAATAGGGTGAGCTCCAGATTGGCCGGTGTTATCAATTTGCCTGCCACACAGGGATGATAGTAAAACTCCAAAAGATTGGGCTGAACAAATCCACACTCATTGCAGCAAACCTCCATCTCAGGGTCCGGTTTCAAACTTGGTGGTGGTCTGGGCGGATTACCAGGGGGTTCACCAAATGCACGCTCTTTGAAGGACGCGCCAGTGTGTAGATGAGTGTCAAAATCGAAACAGTGGCGTCCCAGCACAAATTGCTGACAGGCAATCTCTGTGGCCGTAGCGGCAAACTCTATGCAGAATTCTTTGTTCCGATTGCAGTATGGAATGTGTTTTGTGTACTGTTCGTTGTTGAGAAAAACATAACGGCAGTGCATACAGGTTTTAAAACGGCGCATATGAGCAGGCTTAAGCAGGGCAAACATGACACAACTGTGTGTGAGATAGGCGACCTTCGTCTTAAATTTGTTGTTGCACTTACAACATCGACAAATGTAAAAGTAGTCCGGGTCATGAGGCTTGACCTCAGACTCCACTCTCCGTGTCCAAGCTATGTAGAAATCATGGTGTTCACTGTAGTTTATCGGCAGAACATCCTCAGGTTCCCAGTGTTCAAGCTCGTCGCAACGTTTTTTATCAAAGCAAACATGACTGGCATAGTCACCATGGGAATAAAAAACAAGTTCACAGGTCCTGCACGCGAAGGCTTGAGTGCATCCGAGGTGAAACTTAGCGGCGTAGTATTTCCGCCAACAACAATGATTAATAAAGTCTTGGAACGAATTTAAGACCAGGCTACAACGTATGCATCGAAAGTGCTTAAACGTGTAGTCCTTTATGTCATATTTTGTCCAAACGCGTTTCCTTTTCACATCCTTTACCACGACCGGTGGTGGACCCACAGGCGTGGGAGATCCTTTCTTTTTACCGGAAGATTTACTTTTGGGAGATTTTGACTTGGGCGGCATCCTACGCTCTCGTGAGGATTTGCGAGTAGTCTAGCAGAACTGCGCTGTATCGATCTATTCTTGAATTAGTGAAAACGTGGCTCGTCACGAGGTGCGAGGAAGGCCCTGCCATAATGGCGGACTTGTGTGTCCGCTGCGGCCGCAGCAAAGTGGAATAAATCTTGATCACCAATCTTTACGTATCATTCTCGAAGGAAAGCCCTGCGGTATAGACTTGTTTTGAAACGACGAAATGCTCAGTCGGCTAGATATAGCGGACTGCAAAATAACGCTATTGTGTTTTTGGGAAGATTCATTGAGAATGTGCCCCTGACAATTTTAACAGCAATCTGCTTTCGGGGGGGGGGCGGTACAACAGTATTCTTACACTCCAGCATCCAGAGCCCCAAAAGGTGAATGAAGAATGACTGTAAGCACGCCTACTTTGAGTTAGCAACCAGTTCTTCCGTAACCGTTAAACATTCCAGTTACATTTCTAATGACCCTTGAAAGCAGTGTTTTCCACTCGAGACATATTGGAGGAGATGTTGGCCTCCGCATACTTTGGTTCTATCTAGGTGGCAACCCCGACCGTAACGCTCCAAGTGTAATGAACCACTCTGAACCATACTTGTTTGAATTGACTGACTCTGCTATCTAATCTTTAAAGACCCCCATGTGATACCGTTCCGCCGCTCGTTGACTTACGCTAAGTCTACTCCAATTCCCTTTTTGTACCGTTCGAACGTTTCTCACTATTTCTGTACTATTTGTACACTTTTTTCACTATTTTTATATCGTTTCACGTTTTATCTATTACTCGATAAGTTTTTTCACATATTTTTTCTGGGGTTTGGTACATTATTCTCTGTTTTCATGCCGGTTCCCGCTAGTTTCGTATCGCCACTCGTTTTTCGATTTTTTTCGTACAGTTTCCAGTTTATAGTTTTGAACATTTGACCTATTAAAGTTCCTCGGCATTTTCCTTATATTTCCTCCGTTATTTTACCTCACGATTTATCATCCTCCCAGATAAGCCACTATTAATTTGACAATAAATAGTCCGGTATTATCCCTATACCTTCGACTATGTGGGATCGGGATTGGAAGTCTTATGAATCTGATCGAATAGACTTTTCTCATTTACTAGATGAGGCTGCGGCCTCTTTCTCTTCCTCTTTCTCTCTCTCTCTCTCTCTCTCTCTC